CGGGAGTTGATGGAAGACAACATAAAAGAGGCAGACGCCAGAGGAGGAGGAGGAGGAGAGGTGTTGCAGGAAGCGATGGGGCCGTGGGAGCAAGGAGCCAGTGAGAATGAGCCAGCTTCCACAGAAGAGTGCGCCACCCATCAAAACCAACAGGTACCACAGTTAGTCTTCAAGACATTTTTTTCGATTTTTTTAAAAATATTTTTAGCCATCATTTGATTGACAGATGCCACCGTCACCAGACTTGAAAAAAAAAAAAAAAACGAAACTAAAACCAACCAATGATTAGCGGTATCATGATGTTGACCAGGCATAGACAAACTAAGGCCCCGGGGGGGCAGATGCGGCCCACTCGGCTTTGTAATCCAGCCCGCCAAACTTGTCCAAATTATATAATTGGTTTGTATTGTGATTATACCTCTGCCTTTTCCCTGCAATGCCCACGTTTTCCCCAATAGATGGCGTAGAAAATGATAAAAGCATTTTAGTCTTTATGCATGACTTTTACAACGCTCCATCTATCTGATCCTGAACCCCCCCCCCGTGTCAAATTATACGACGAATTTTGCAGGACTGTTACAACATTGAGATTTTAAATCTGATAAGAAAATTGGCTAACATGATCAGGAATTGTAACTAGCTAGGTTGGAGAAATCATTTATACAGTAGACTAAGAAAGAGATTACGTCTCTCCATTCACTTATGTCAAAAGGAAAATTTTAAATGCTTCTAGGTTTTTTTCTGATATACAGTGGTACCTAGAGATACAAGCTGCCCGAAATCCGATTTTTGTTTTTCTTTTTTGAGTTACGAGTAAGCAACTTTTGCAAGATTTTCCTCGGGGATATGAGGAAATATCGAGTTACGAGTACTGGGAAAAATCACGTGCATACTGGTTAATTCACGGTTTTGCTTGTATCCACACTTTCCACCTGATCCCAGGTCAGGCGCCTGCCTCTGTCTTTGTTCGTTGTCGACTTAAGTACTCTCTCTGAAGAGTTTAACTTTTTTATTGTTTAATAAAACAAAAATAAATAAATAAAATATTTTACCCGCTTCTTATAACAATTATATAAAATGTATGTTTCTATGTTTTTGATGTTTAGATGGGGGGGGGGTTCATTTAATTAACTAATAGTATATTTCTGGAGTTATTTTTAATGGGGAAAATTTGATCGAGATACGAGTGGATCGACATATGAGCGCTGTTGTAGAACGGATTCAACTTGTATCTTGATACCACTGTATATGGAATGGGAAAAAAAAAAAAAATGCAATGCCCACGTTTTCCCCAATAGATGGCGTAGAAAATGATAAAAGCATTTTAGTCTTTATGCATGACTTTTACAACGCTCCATCTATCTGATCCTGAACCCCCCCCCCGTGTCAAATTATACGACGAATTTTGCAGGACTGTTACAACATTGAGATTTTAAATCTGATAAGAAAATTGGCTAACATGATCAGGAATTGTAACTAGCTAGGTTGGAGAAATCATTTATACAGTAGACTAAGAAAGAGATTACGTCTCTCCATTCACTTATGTCAAAAGGAAAATTTTAAATGCTTCTAGGTTTTTTTCTGATATACAGTGGTACCTAGAGATACAAGCTGCCCGAAATCCGATTTTTGTTTTTCTTTTTTGAGTTACGAGTAAGCAACTTTTGCAAGATTTTCCTCGGGGATATGAGGAAATATCGAGTTACGAGTACTGGGAAAAATCACGTGCATACTGGTTAATTCACGGTTTTGCTTGTATCCACACTTTCCACCTGATCCCAGGTCAGGCGCCTGCCTCTGTCTTTGTTCGTTGTCGACTTAAGTACTCTCTCTGAAGAGTTTAACTTTTTTATTGTTTAATAAAACAAAAATAAATAAATAAAATATTTTACCCGCTTCTTATAACAATTATATAAAATGTATGTTTCTATGTTTTTGATGTTTAGATGGGGGGGGGGTTCATTTAATTAACTAATAGTATATTTCTGGAGTTATTTTTAATGGGGAAAATTTGATCGAGATACGAGTGGATCGACATATGAGCGCTGTTGTAGAACGGATTCAACTTGTATCTTGATACCACTGTATATGGAATGGGAAAAAAAAAAACAAGGACAATTTCCCACTTTCAGAAGGTACTTATTTATTTTCTTCCATCTGTTCCATTCTGTCTCCCTTGTCTTCTGTTGTCCTTATTTTGTGTCTTGTTATCAGCAGGCCTTAAGGCTTGAAACAAAGGAAGTCAAATTGGCTGAGATGGAACTGAGCAGTCATCAGAGTCAACATGCTGCTGCTGCCGCCGCCACCGCCGCCTCTGCCCCAGATGACAATGATGCTGATGATAAGGAAGATTCTAACTCGGCAGACACTCAGACCAAATCCTCAGCCTTTTCAAATCCTGAAGAAATGGGAATGGAGGGGAAACGAGACACTGTGGACACAGAGCAGCAGGAGACCGGAGGGGGAGGAATAGAGGCTAATGGAGACGAGAGCAAAGGGCTGAAGAGGAAGATAGACACAGTAGAGAGAGACGATGAGGAGGAAAGAAGCCCGGAGAAAAAGAAGGTACACAGGTCACACAAAAATGACCGAATATCACTCAACTCATAACTTGTGGTGCAAATAAATATCTATCCCCCCACGACCAAAACACACATTCAACACATCACTCACTCATATATATGTATATGTGTATATATATGTATATATGTATATGTATATATGTATATGTATATATGTATATATATATGTATATATATGTATGTATATGTATATATATATGTATATATATGTATGTATATGTATATATATATGTATATATATATGTATATATATGTATGTATATGTATATATATATGTATATATATATGTATGTATATATGTATATATGTATATATATATGTATATATATATGTGTATATATGTGTGTATATATGTGTATATATATATGTATATATATGTATATATATGTATATATACATATATATACATATATATATACATATACATATATATATACATATATATATACATATACATATATATATACATATACATATATACATATATATACACATATACACATATATACATATATATATACACATATACATATATATATATACACATATATACATATACATATATACATATATATACATATATATATGTATATATACATGTATATATATATATATATATACACATATATATATATACACATATATACATACATACATATACACATATATATATACACACACATATATATACACATATATACATATACATATATACATATATATACATATATATACATATATATACATATATATACATATATATACATATATATACATATATATACATATATATATGTATATATACATGTATATATATATATATATATACACATATATATATATACACATATATACATATACATATATACATATATATACATATATATATGTATATATATGTATATATACATATATATATAGTATATAGCACCTTTTAAATCAGTAAATAAAGTTAAAGTAGTATGGAGCCGTAAACTGACTGTGCATCTGGAGGTTTATTTGGTTCAATAACGAGTATTTCCTCACATAATACTTCCTCACTTATTTCCTGATGGATCTGAATGGAAAACCTTAAAGATGAAGTTGAGACAAACAAAAAGATTTCCTAGAGCTGAGATTTTTGTTTTAGTTGTGTGGCTATTTGCTGCCACCTAGCGGAATTGCATTCAACAGTAGCACGGAACCTCAGTTTTCGAACTTAATTATTCATGTAGGCCGTTCGTGAACCGATAAGTTGGGAAAACTGAAACAATTTTCCACCATAGGAATCGATGTAAAATGGATTCCTCCGTTCCTGCACCCCGGATGATTGATTATTCAAACTTTTTCAACCGTATTTTGTGAACAAGTTCATACACGAAACCAATGAAAATTATTAGATCTAACAAAAAAGATAAACATCTGAATAAAGCTATAAAAAGGAAAGGCAATTTCATTCATCCTTACTGGTGCTGAAGAGTTGTGATTGCGCAATGTTCCCTTTGCCTTCTCACAAATCATCACTATCCGTAGCCTAATATTGTTGGTTTGTTTGGCAACCAAGTTATGGTACGACAATATATTTTTGGTTACAAATTCTGTACGTAAACTGAATTGTTCGAAAATCAAGGTTCCACTGTATTTATTTGGCTGTAACGAACGAACAAAGTATTTGCAGTAAATACATTTTTCAGATCAATTAAATTAAATTTGACTTTGATTTTCTTGACATCAGATCTCTAAGGACTCTCTAAGTATCAATGAGGGTTAAATTGAAAATCAAAAAGCCACCAGGTCATTTATACCTTTTATGCAAACTCTACTTGTGCCGAAAGATGAAGACTGTAGAATTATATTGAGAATTAAATCAAGTTCTTTGGTCTGCCCCACAGCTGGACGATGAAGCCATGGCCTCCATGTTGGCCGATTTTGTGGCCTGTCCGCCCGATGATGAAGACCACGCCTCTGGATCAAAGTGAAACCTTCACTAAGCATTGCACCGTAACTGAAGTGGGCCGTGAATATTGTTGAGATACTGCAACTCTAGTATACTTTAGTGTTTAACTATCTGCACCGTGTAATTTGACACTCGTTCCGTGTCTTGTGTTTGTGAACCGGAATACTTTGCCCTCTTTACTCAAGTTTTTTTTTTTTTTTTTTTGAACCCTAAAGAAATGTGTTATTTTGTAACAGTTGTATTCAGTTGCCTGTCCTTTAGGATGGTAGCATCGGTTTCCATTTCTGTTTATTAAGTGCGTACTTGAACAGGCACTTAGAACCACACATACTCCTGTGCTGTTTTCAGTTTGACATGACTGGCATCTGCTTTGTTATTAAAAAAAAAAAAAAAAAAATTAAAAAAAACCTAAGTACCTCATTGATGCCGCTTCACTGTACATGTCGTTTGTATGTACATCATACAGTGTGTTCTTTTTGTTACTTGAGTAAAAACATACACGGGTGATTATAGTGAAAATAAAAATATTCACAGTATTTTATGAATAAATAGAGTCACCGCATGTATTCCCTATCCTCAAATCAACTGAAAGACTTATTTATTAAGAGCAATTGCTCATTCATTAGGACTCCTACCAATACTTTTGGTCATATAGTGTATATAACTTGACAATTCAATTGAGGATATGCAGATTTTTTTTTTTCTTTTTGCTCTGCACACACAACTTGTCTGACAGTTTTAGAGCCCATTTGGATATTTTTCACACTCAAATTTGGTAAAATTGTAATATAAGCCACGGCATTATGGGAGATACAGTAATTACTCAAACACAAATAGGTGCAAATCTGACAGAATTTATTTGTATGCTGCGTGTTAAACTATAAATATGTAAATCCTATAGGTAGAAATGTCCTGTCGGATTTGTACGGCCTTAGTGTCATACGTGTTGGGGGTGAGTTTTTGTTACTTAATATCGGGCCGATAATATGGGTTGGTCGAAATTCTCGGCCCTGATATTAAGTAAACTAAGTAAAGTAATTATTAAAGTAACTACACTGACCGACATTAAGAGTGAGCTTAGTGAGTGTACAAAAAATAGAGATGGCTCCATACAACTTTTTTCACGTCACAACACAAAAAAAAACAGCAGTGGTCCACTTAAATTAATTTATTAAGTAAAAGTTAGAGAACAATAGGCACGTGGTATACTCTTTGAAAGATAAAGACAGATTTTTAAAGGAACATTTGAAATGTTCTACAACTGCACCCTTTTGGGAAATGTTGCCGAGATAAAGGAACACATGAATTACACATGAATGAATTCAAACAAGTTGTCTAATTACAATGAGCATTCTACCTCAGAGTCAGAAATGAAAATGTTTGTTTTACAGTACGGAACGCGTCTACGATGACAGTTCCTAAAAAAAAAAAGTACAAGAGAGCAGTATTACTATATATATATACGTATATATTAGCTGTGTCCAGAGCCGTCTGCTTTTCCTCTTGGTTCAACCAGAACTGAGCCAAACGTTGCCCTAGCAAAGAAAAGAAAATCTACAGCCAAACATCTTCGGGCTACGGACTAACAATACTTTCCTGTTTTTCGAAATTAGATTTTACATCACACAAAATAATTAATTCATTTTACAACTACATAGCTTGAGACAGTAAAATAGGTTTTGAGGTCATCATAGTTATACATACAAAATATTTTCTCCGCTTTTTGCTCTCTGTCGTTTATCTCTGTTTTCCTCCGATACTTGCTTTTGTGTATTTTTATGAATTCTGCATTTTTGAAAAGTCAACTGTTGATTTTTTTTTTTTTTTTTTTTGGATTGATGGATCATGGACCGGGAAAAGCTTGGGAGACGTGCAGGACGACAAGGACACATCAAAAAAAGGTGAAGCCCGGCAGTGTTTTGTGGTGTTTTATTGCTGTTTTCTTCTCTAAGTCCAAAATTATCTTTTAAATAGTAGCAAGAAAAAAGGTCCACAAAAAAAAAACACTTTTTAATATTTCCCTGTCACTCAAACTGTGTCTCTTTCGCTTTTCTCTACAATCTTTAAATAAAAAAAGTCCCTTATAGACAAACACATTTTTCGTTCGTTTCTTTTTAGCCTTCTTTTATATAAGCCAGGCATGGGCAAACTAAGGCCCGGGGGCCAGATGTGGCCCGTTCAGCTTCCTAATCCGGATCACCATACCTTTCCAAATTATATAATTTGTTTATATTATCATTATACTTTTGCCTTCTCCCTGCGATACCCACGTTTTCCCAATAGATGGCGAAGAAAATGTTAAAAGCCTTTTAGCATCTTTAGTCTTTATGCACAATTTTTACATGTCATTCATCTTAGTTCGCCTCCTGACTCAGCACCCCGTCAAATTGTAGGACCAATTGTGGCCCGTGAGTCAAAAAGTTTGCCCACACCAATCTAAGCCATGAACAAAAAAAAAAAAAACAAAAAAAAAAAATTAACAAAATAAAATGGACATGCATTCTCGATTATAAAAACACTTTACAAAACTAGTTTAAAAATATCCAAGTAGACACTATGTTATTGATTATTTTATTATATTTTTAGAATAGAATAATTTATTAGAATAAAAAATATCTTGAAACCTTGACCCGACATTTTTTTTGTGTGTGTGTGTGTGATGCACTGGTGTATTGAAAGTGAGAGACTGAAGGGCGGCATCACAAGCTCGGCTTCTGTTTTTCCTGCACGTTATAAAAAGCTTGAGGTAAGTCTGACTCTTGATTGTCACTTTGAAAATATACTTGACTGTATATATAAAAAATGGATGTGGTCTTTTTTTCTGCAAAACAATCTTTCACAAAAAAAAAAAAATGTTTTTATGTGTTATCAGGATTCAGTCTTTCCAGGCTGGAATATACCGCAACACGCCACTAAGAAAACTCAAAGTGTATTTGAATGAATTCCAAGGTAATGGGGCTGGCCCCCCAATAGGGAGCGCTGAACTGTACTTTGTGGAAATAAAGCCACACAGTTTAAGGAGCACCATTAACTTTTCTGGGTGTCAATCTGTTCTGTTTTGTTTACTTTGACAGAGGAAGTAAACGTTCAAATGTAAATGTATATTTTTCCATCAATTTTTTTTTTTTTTGCCAAAATTAACAAATGTCACCTGCATAATTATCGATTTGTTTTAATCTATATTTGTTTTTTTTTATCTTCTTGCTTTGACATCCCAGTCAATGAGTCACATGGTGTAAGCTGAGATGCAGGGTGAAAATTCCAAACCTCAGCAACACTGCCCCCTTGTGGTAAGATGTGGTAAATTTCATCCTGCCATATTGGGTGAAAAATGTGCTATACAGTAATTTAGTTTCAGTTCACCGCAAACGTTAGCCATACATGGAGCACTCATACTGGCCCAGACGGTGGCATGCAGACAAGCGGTGCTGACCTTGACCTCTAGTCTTGACAGTGTTTTCACACCTGACTGTATGTAGTTCAATCAACTTTTTTTTTTCAGTCTAAACATTGCCTCACAAAATACTTGAGATCACGGAGTAATTTCAATTCTGCTACTTAGCAACTTAAGTAAAAATATTTCACCCTATATATTCAAGGTGAAATATATAAATATATAAATATATATGTATATATATGTATATATATGTATACACACACAGATACATGTATACATATGTATATATACACACATACATGTATACATATATATATATATATAGCCACACCAATAATATATATCAATATTGTATATTAACATACTTACTCTCTGAGGCAGGGCATTAAACTTGTATTAGTGAAGGGCCACATTTTAGCACTTTGATAAAATGTGGCCAAAAATGAAATGATTCATTTGTGACTTTAACAAGAAAAAATTGGGGATGACCATAGTACGCCAAACTGTCAGGCCAGGAAGTTTAAAAAACATGGCCGAGGGAAGTCTAACATCAAAGATGTGGCAAAAAAAAACAAAACAGCCAAATTAAAAAAAAAAAAAAAAAAAAATACAAATAAATTTTAAGTGCACAAACTACAACTAGAGGTGTAATAGTGTAAAAAGTCCCATTTAGAAACTTTTTTTTGGGCTGTATCAGATGACTAAGACAAGTGTCCTGATGCGTTAAGAGGCACGAAAGGTGTAAGTGGGTGGTCCTGTAACTTTGAAAACGGCTGATAATTAATAAAATCAAAATACTTTTTTTTTTTTTTTTTTCCCTGTGAGGTCCAAAAAACAAATGATCTGGAGCTAAGTATACAGGTCCACAGCCCGGGGGTTGAGAAGCTCTGCTGTACAGTAATGGCCTGCAGGACTGGGTATTACAATCCCTTATCCCTCAAAGTTGAAAGCAAGTGAGTACCATCAAATACTGGTGGTACCAGCAGGACATGTACTTCTACTATAGCATCATAGCAGCGCCACACGGTGTGTGTGTGTGTGTTCTCTGGTTAGCTGTCGTGGCCAGGGTATTATGGGATGTAACAATAGTGCCACACACAGGTGGAGGTGTGAATACAAAAACCAGGTCTTGGATGTTTTGGTTTTTTCCAAAAACAACACTGCAAACAACCTGATTTAAAACAGCTGCGGAGTGAAGATGAGACGAAAAGTTTTACTTTACACTGAAAACGTCAGTCTGTTTCTTTCTACAAACGGGTGAAAATAACCTGACCATTAGAATCGTAAGGTAAAAATGTGAAATCATTTGGATCGCATATGGGATGAAGAAATGCTCTGGAGTCTGAATTCAGGGAGTCAGTTCAAATATTCCAAGCCGTATAAAACGAAAGTACAGGGGGGACCTCGTTTGATGACGTTCTCAACTTTACGGCGTTTCGTAGTTACGTCACCATCTACGGTGAATTTATTCATACGAATATGTCGTCACTTTGATTGGCCAATCTCTGGGTTAACGTAAATGCCTCAAGCCACCTCGGCTGACTCCTCTCGATGTATAGCGGCTCTACTTTGAGTTCCTATCCCTGTTGCTCTGCGGAGAAAGCTCAGTTCGGCTGCTTGTATCTGGGATCTTGACTAAATGGTCTCCTTTCAAGAGTTCCTCTATGTAGCTTGGACTGTTAAGCCTCCTCTTGTAAGATGCCACCGATGTCTTGGCCGTAGGTGAAAATTGACATAAGTGCTGATGTTCTGACTTAGCGGGAAATTAAGTTACATTGCCCTGAAGGTACAGAATTCTGACTTAAAGTCAAGAATCCCCGGAAAAAGTTTTCAGAATATTTGAGGGTCTCCTTACAGCTGCAGGTCTTGCTCTTATGAGATGTGTTTCTAAAATGTTTCACCCTCCAAAAAAAAAACCAAAAAGAACTCTGTATGTCACCGTCGATACAAAATGAAAAATAATCAGGTCAGGTTTTCTTCCTGTCTCTTATCTTTGGAATTCTGTTCCAGCGTCAGATTTGTCAATTGTTTGATTTGTTTAAACATACTGATTACTTTTTTTTTTTTTTTATCATTTAGGCTCCAGAACAACAGACTGCAGACTGCAGAACAACTGTAGTGAGCAGTTCTGACTAAAATTACAAAAAAGGGCTTGGTAAAATAAATATATAATGTGTAAGGAAATTTGATGTAAGCAGCAACTATTTCAAAAACAAAAAAAAACCTATACAAATATCACTATAATAAGTAAAAATACACCCTTCCCACACACACACACACACACACAGAGATTATTACATTCCAATTGATAACACACACTGCAGTATCAAGAGCAAATAAACAGATGTATTGTTAAAGCTCTGAGTGTGTTTCTGTTTTGTTTGTTTTTTTAAAACAGGACTTTTTTTTTGTGATTGGATTTCTCTGTGAAAGGCTACGGTCGTGACAAAAACGTCTCACTCATCACTGTCCTTGCATAACAGCAGTAGCTTATTTACAACTTGTACAGGTCGTTCAGGGAACATTTTTGGTATGGACTTTGGTGTCTCGGGTGAGAGAAAAAAAAAATACCTCCAAAAATGAAGTATCAAGCGAAGTAAAAGCGACAGCGTCTGCGTAACGACATAAAAGAATATCACTCACAAAGGCACACAACGTTATTAAAGTGAGCCTTCGGTTAAGTGACCTTAGATTACGAAGGTTCCTTGCCTGCCGTACGATAGATCAGTGGTTCCCAACATAGAGGGCAGGGCCCCCCCCCTAAGGGGCAGAAACTATTGCAAGATGACCATCTCTGTCACACATCCTTTTCTCAAAAGCACCATTTCTCAAAAGTGTATTTTATTCTAAGTGTCATCTCGGTTAAGTTCAATGGCTTTCAAAGTAGGGGGCTGGGCCCCGACTTGGTCGCACTGAGCTCTTTCCAAATTCTGATTGTTTTAGTTACAATCGCTACGGCACACAACACTACATATCCATGACGTCGACACTAAGTTTGGGAAGGGTTAAGGTGAAAATGTTCGGCTCTCTACTCTCGCAAACACACGCTAGCACGCACGGCGGACTATCCTGCGTACAACACGACGGCTAGCTACACACGGCGGACTATCCTGCGTACAACACGAAGCTCAAATTGGCTCGTCTAGACTTTTCTCAAGAACGCGGCACTATGCTCATCACCGCTAAGAAGCTGTCGGATAAAGATTTTGGGGCAATGCCGTGTCATTCGGGGTCAACCCTGCCATTATTTTTGTCTCTTTTATTTTTCAAAATGGATTCGTTGGTGAGAAAAATGACATCACGTTTTCTCTCAAAAAAAAAGACCTGAAACTGTGGGTTCAGACTACTTTTCTTTTTTTCAACAGTAGCCTATCGTATTTCTCAGAGTTTAAAAGTGGATATTTGGCTGGGGTTATTTTTCCAAATTCAATATTTCCATATTTTTCGAAAGCTAGCGTTGCAGACCACAAAGACGCTGAGATCAATTTTAAAAGTAAACAAACACTAGTAAAGGACATTGACAGTGTTGCGTCATTTTCCTATTACACCTGCTGCCTGAACATCACCGTCTGTTTTTCTGAACGTGACGCCCCAACAGTTTAGCTTCCTGTTCTGGCCTGTGCAAACAACGAAGCACAACCCTGCCCATGGGTTGCAGCCCTTACTCTGAAAACCACCAAATGTCTTTAAGGCTTCACTGTTCGGAGGGATATCTGTAAAGAGAGACTTACGGTGACAAGGCTGTAACTGTGAGATTTTTTTTTTTTTTTGCTTTTTTTTTTTGCATAAATCACTACCCACCACTGCACTTCCGGGTTAAAAATTGTATCCAATCTTATCTTCATCAGTTATCAGCCACAGTTAGCACAATGTTAATTGATTCCCTGCATACGTGGGTAAAAGTGCAAGTCAAGAAAGTTAGAGAGTTGTTCACGAGTCCTTAGAATGGAGTTTGTAGGTGTGTATAATGCTGCGATGGTGTCGAGGAGGCGGTGGAGGAGGAGTTGGTGGAGGAGCTATTCACCAAATGAGAGGAGAGGGAGGAATCGGACATTTGCAGCTCCTCGAGCTTCTTCAGGTACTCGTCTCTGAGCGTCAACAGTTCCTTGTACCGCTGCTCCACCGGACTCTGCTGCTGAATCACAAGTAGAACACAGTTCATTTAATGCCTTCAGTACTACTTATTTCTACTCCCTTCATAACATTTTTTTTTACTGCCTTCAGTATTCTTGTTTTACGTCTCTTACTTATTCTATTTTTTCCTCCATTAATACTTATTTTCAACACCTTTATAGCACTAAAATCTAACACTACTATTTTTCTACTGCCTTCGTGAAGCTTACTTCTACTTACTAGGATATTCTATTTCCTATTTCGCAGCATTAGATCAATAAAGTACGGTACATCTGTCTTTAATACTATTTTTTTACAGATTGAAATACCTAGTAAAAAGTAGTGATGTTCGATACCACCAATTTCCTTTCCGATCCGATACCGAGTAAAATTTGGGCTGGTATCGCCGATACCGATACCGATATTTTATCATTTGTCTTTTAAATAAAACAAAAAGTGTATTTCAAATCATAGCTTCTTTAAGAATCCATGGCTTAGTTTTTTATTTATTTATTTATTTTAAACTCTGGAGTGTACTGAGGTAGCTGCCTCATTTACTATACAGTCAACACGACAATAGAAAAACCTGAGAACACAATCATATAAAATATGTCAAAACAATGTTTCAAACTCTGAAAA